TCAGCTCAGGTCTCGATCTCATGGGAGTTCAGGGCCCACAAGGGGCTCTGTGCTGGGCATGGAGCCTACTTAAAAAAAAAAAAAAAAGCTCCAACAAGAACAAAGAAGCTGGCATGGGAGAAATGACAAAGAAATAACATAAATTACAGAAGAAAATGTTGGATCTAATGGCACAACCGAAAGAACTTATGGAGTACCAAGTAAGATGTATAAAAATAGAAATATACCTAGGCCACCATGCTGAGGTTTCAGAATTCCAAAGATAAAAAGAAAAATCCTACAGGATTTTAGAGTGAAAAAAATAGGCTATTAACAAAAATGGACAAGAATCATCTAGGCAACACTACGAGCCAGAAGATAATGAAGCTATCTTTAATGTTATCACTAAAACACTGGTTTTAAACCTAAAATACTAATATTAAATACTAATAATTTAAACCTAAAAAACTAATATTCAAATTGGAGATAAAATAATGATATTTTCAGGTATCCAATGATTCAGGAAGTTTACCACCCACAGTTGTTCTCTAAAAAAGCACTCCTAACTATAACACAGGAAAGAGAAGCCCAAGAAGTGGGAAATATTAGGCCATCAGAAAAAGTGGTGAGCAAAGAAACCAATAATCCTAGTTAAGTTTAAATATTTGTTGAAGCATAATGTAAAAAATCAAACAAGATCAAATTTTTGGACCTAAAATCTCTGGTGATTTCAACATAACATTGGTAGAGGGCTGGGAGTATGAGCATGGGAGAGGGAGTCAATTTATAATGTCCTAAGTTTACCTTTTTACAGAGATTATAGAAATTCAACTAAATGAATATATATGGATATATAGATATGATTATATATATAAAATTATGGTAAATGATGAAATTATATAATATCTCTAAGCAAAAACAGAAATAAGTTCAACATAAGTAAAGGCTTTATGAATAATTAATATTAAAAACAAATTAGTTGTATAAACTGCCAAAATCACTAGCAAAAAAAAAAATCACGTGACAAAAACACATAATCCATTTAATAAAAGAGAGGGAAAGAGAAAGCACAGTAATTTAACAAATAAGTGCAAACACATCATTAATTACAAACACATACATGTACAAAATAGAATTATATATACTTATTTAGGCTTGTGGAATTCAACACCCAATGAATAATAAGCAATAATTGAATTTAACTGATGGGTCTCAAATACCTAAAACATATGGAGGCTTATTCTTTATACTATAGAACGGTATGTTATCACATGTAAGTGCTGTGTTTGCTATCTAGCCTGTGATATGAGAAAAAGTTTTAAAAGGCAATTTCGTGGATAAGACTGCTCTAGTGTACAATACAAAATTAGAAATGTTGAGCGAAGTGTCAGTAAAGATATTGAGGAGGATTTAGTCCATAGTATCAAACTCATTATAACAGGAACTCTATTAATTGATTGGCTTATCAAATATTATCAGTAATCATAGAGCTGTTCTCAAATATTTATCAATGATGTTGCATTGTGAAGCTCCAAATAAAATGAGAGAAAATACAAATTTCCATATAAATCATTGCTACTAGATACAGAGTAAAAGAAAAACTTTTTGAGAGAAATTACAAAGTGGTTATATTGATATCATCTAGACCCTTACTGACATGGCACAACTCACTCTTCAAGGTCACGACCTGTAGTTTTTATTCTATGAGTATTTCTTGATTAAAAGAAAGCCTTGTTCTGACATCCTTACTTAGTCCTGCCTTTCCAAATAATATAATAGTAAATAACGACCGCACCTTACCTCAGTAAGTTCTAAGAACATGATATGGTGGAGAGGTCACTCCAAAGGGTAGTGCTGTGGACTGAATTGTGTTTCCTAAATTTTTTTTTTATGTTGAAGCCCTCACTTTCAATGTGATGTTCCAGGAGGGGGAGCCTTAAGAAGGTATTGGGTTGATGAGGTCATGAGGCTCTCATGATGAGATTAGGTATCTTTATAAGGAGAGACATAAGAGAACTTCCATTCTCTCTCTGTGTCTTTCTGTCTCTCTCTCCCTCTCCCCCTCTCATCGAGGAAAGGCCATGTGAATACATGGTGAGATGGTGGCTGTCTCCAAGGCAGGTAGAGGAATCTCATCAGAACCCAACCATTTTGGTACCCTGATCTTAGACTTTCAGCCTCTCGAGCTGTGAGAAAATAAATTTCTGTTGTTTAAGTCACCCTGTATATGATATTTTGTTATGGCATCTTGTGCTAAGACAGGTAGTATCATAAACCAATACAGGATGAGAAAAATGTTCTGGGTCAATTGACTTTTTGTATATAAGGATGAACTTATATAGATGTACACTCATATATCAAATATATTTTATAATTCATCAGATACTAGTAAAAGCCCCAATAGGATAGTGTCAGATAATACCAGTACAGGTCTTTAAATGCTAAGCTCTTCGGTAAACTTCTGGATTGGTCTAATCAAGTGGGATAGTACAGATCCCTTGTCATATACTGGAACTTCATAAACTACTCTTGGCCAAATTCCTAGGAGATCCTTTCACCCAGGTTTCTGTATGAGACCCTAGAAATGGCTTACTTAACCCTCAGTAAAAATATAGTTCCAAGAAGCTGTTACCAACATTCTTTCTTTTTCTAGTTTTCACACAGATATAAAAGAGACAAAGTCCCAGAGATGCAGCAAGTCCATTAATTTTGCTTCTGCGGGCAACTGAATAGAATGGGATCTTCCTGACAGAAGGTACCTTCTATACCACTCAGTTCTCAGTCATCCTGCTCTCCTCACCCTTGGAAATAAACTTTTAAACCTAGATGCCTATGACTGAGAAATATGCCCTTTTTACTTAAATCTTTGCTATACTTCTTATCCTCATTTCCATCTCTTCTCATTTTTCCATGGTTCTATATTTAATAATCCTCTTGTAGAATTTCTCCTCTTTCTTACCCATGATCTGTCTATATATTTTTTTCTTTTTTCCAATCCATTTTAACTAACCTAGTTTTTTGGCTTAAAACTTTTTTCTTTCTTTTCATCCACAAATATCAAAGTGTCCTGCACTGTTAGAAAAAAATGTAAGTGGTTTCATCCCATTCTTACTGTAAATGACCTACTTCTTTTTCTGTCACTCCAATAATGCCCATTTCAGTCCTCTAGCTGCCATGATCCACAAAGCTTCAAATGTTTCTTGGAGTTGAACAAACAAAGATGACCTGCCCTACCTAGCTAGAGCAAGATTAAAGACCAGGAGCAGAGCAGGATGAATAACCAGCTGAGGCTGAAAGAGGGAATGAAGTAAGAAAGAAGGGGGAGATGCCCTTCATCATGGAAAGTGTGTCTACTAGGGTACCAGAGAAGACTTGACAGATAGATGGTGCTGTTCCATTCCCACTGCCACCGTGCTAAAGCCCACGTCCCTTCTGTACCCAATAAAGATGTGTGACTTGAGAATATTCTTCACAGAAATGATAATTTGGCTTAAAACATTTCCTAAATATGTACACTTTACCATGGACAGCTTAGTTGCAATAACATTGATGAAAAAAATAGCTCAGAATATCTGTAGTCTCTTGGTCTGGGACTTACTCTAAAATGAAGAAAAAATTAGATTTTAAAGCTCTTATTTTTACCAAAACTCAAAAGCTTCATGTTTTAACATCCAGAATCTCTTGAAAGACTGTATAAAACTTTGGTTGCTTGTCAATAAGTGATACTGGAACACTGACTGTTACTCTAGGCAACAGAGACCCCCACATTCTGAGATACAACTTTGGTCATTTGTCTAACAAAATATGTTGGGCTGATAATTACATTTCACACTGGCTAAGTTTTTCCAAATACAAAAAGTTGATAATCTAGCATAAGTGAAGCAGTATGTACAGTGATTGGACCAAATGCTGCCAATATTCCAATCTTGGTTCTGACCTCTTCATTTATTTGCCCTGTGACTTTGGCAAGTTACTTATCTTAGCTTTAGTTTCCTCATCTAAAAAAATAACAGTTGCAGGTACTGCTTAGAATTTTCAGAGAGTTTAAGGAGTTAACACATAAATACAACTTAGAACAGTTCCTGGTACATAAGAAGCACTCAATAATTGATTTAGCTATTATTCTTAAGAACATCTCAGTCACTTCCTTTAAATCACACTGAGTGAGTCCCCCAGGCATCATTTGGTAATTCTGCTCAGTTATTTGAATTTACATATTCTTCAATACATTAAAGATGTTAGCAGCTTTACAGAAGTCAAACAACATAAAAGCAAATGTCCTGCAACATGGTTTTGTGACCCTGAAGACAGAGAAATCTGGAATCAGAAATTCTGGTGTTTTATTTTAACCTAAAAAAAAAAAAAGTTGTGCCCATTCATCAAGCATTTTTATTCCTTAATTTCAGCATTTATAAAATGTGAAAAATAGAGGCTGGCCAAATTGAGAAACTATGAAGCATGAGTTTTAAATTATGAGCGCTGGTCATTTATACATGAGCTTTAAATTATTTTATTCTTTAAAATTAAAATCACAGTAGCTTATTTAACCCTTACATTATGACATGTTGCTGGGTAGTTATGCTCCTAGGTAGTTATGCATAAATAATACATTAATCTGTTAACATTGCTTTTATAATACTGTATCACAATTCAGCTTTCTGTTAATATTTGGAGCACTGCATGGATTTAAGATGGCAGACATTTGAAACCATTTTCCACTACCTACCAAATGACACGAGCTCAAGCAACTTACTTAACCCTTCTGTTTACCTCAGTTCCCTCACTGCAAAATGGAGAAATGGCTAAATCTCCTCATTGTATTGTGGTAAGAACTAAATTATATAATATACGTAAAGCACCTAGAATAGTGGCAGGGATCATAGTAAATACCTAAAATTGTTAGCTTGAAATTAAAATGTATTTATTTCTCATTTGTTATTTTTTCATTCTTTATTTTTTTATTTAGTCACATAATTTACACACAAGAAAATGGGTTAAGGCACAGTGGTTTGGGAACATACTTGAAAATAAAAGTGACTTCTTTTGGTCATTTCCATGATCCATGACTGCCTCTTCCTGGGCACCACTTGTTTGAGTTCCATCCATCCTGTCTTCTCCAAAGAGATTCATTGAGAGTATACTCTGGGCTCAGCGTTGCAGGATCAAGTATTTGAGGACAGGAGGGCTCAAGGTAGCAGATTCTTAGAATCCCTGAAATTTGAGTCTATCAATTTCCTTCCACAGCTGGTCTGCAAATTTAAACATGCTGAGAAAACAGAAGGAAAAGCACAGAGATCTGGGATGGAGAAAAAATAGAGAATATAGGAAAAATAGACTTAGAATAAGGCAGCATTACTTAAAGCTAAAGTTAAGAAGAGGAAAAGAAAAATAAGAAAAAAGAGAGGGCCTTACCAGCCCTGGCATCTTTTGGATACTTCTGATCAACCAGCCTCCAAGCATTGTCAGACTAAGCAAATTCAGATTTATGGCTCGGTGCTGGAGAGATGCGTTATCCTTCCCGTACTTTAGTTCTCCAGTCATTTTTCAGTCACCAACTTACTCAACACACTGTAACACCTTCTCTGGGCTAAGCCTTCATTTTATTAGACATTGGGACCAGGAAAATAGAGAGGTGGTTACCAAGATGAAAAAAGACATGATTGTTGACCTCAAAGAGTTTGTAGTCTGGTGGAAGAAACTGAAAAAGGCCCAGAAACATTACAATAGAGCCCTGAGTTAATGAATATAAGTACTAGGGGCTCAGGGAAAGAGGAACGATGAGTTCTGCCTGGAGAGTCAGGAACATTTTCACAGAGGATTTAACACTTGAGTAAGTCCCTAAGGACAACTAGGTACTCCTCAGCCTGAAATAAATCGTATTTTGTAGAGCATGAGGCATGCAGAAGCATAATGTGTTTGGGAAGTAGTCATTCACTGTGGCTGTAGTAGAGGGAGTATGGGTGGAGGCAGAGATGTAGAGGAAGAGATGGGGGTAGTTGAGAAATCATGTGCCCAAATAGGTTTAATATGTCTCTTTCATCTTCTATTCCTTCCCCCTCCCCAGCCTCCCTAGTATGACTAAATGAGTGATGCTTGGAAGTTTCTGTTTCTGGTTCTGGGGAAGGCAGGGAATCCATGCAACTCTGAGAAAAATGGCTCTGAGTGACCTGAGCATCTGGAAGGGCCATTTTCAGTCTTAAAGCTGGGACAGTTGAGTGGCTAGTAGTGTCAGCAAGTGACTCAGCTGGATTGGGTCTGTTATTAAATTTTATCATGTCACAGCCAATAGTATCAGTAAAACATAAAGCATTACTTAGAAATTATTGTCAGATGGAATTTCTGTAGTTGCTTTGTTGAAAATTGGTATAGATAGCCAGCCCTGTGTGTGTGTGTGCGCGCATGTGCATGTGTGTGTGCATGTTGTATATGTTAGTTTTTATAGCCTGTAGTCCCCAGGAGTCCTAAAAACAAGCATGCCCTTTTAATATTCTTATTTGCTCACACATCTGTATATTCAGGACAAGGGTACAATAGGGGCTTTTTGTGCCCATGTAAGTGTCATAACAAGGATGAGGGGACCAGGAGATGCTGAGAGTCTAATGAGACATGACCAGTTGTTTCTTCTCTGGTGACAAAAGTGTTACAAGGGCTCAGCTTTTCTCTAGCCAGTCCTCTTCCCAGCCCAGGCCTTTAGGTATGGTTGAAACAAATACTCCTTTCTTTTGTGTGTTCTAGTCTAGATTGTGCAAAATCCCTCAATCTGGCAGAAAAAGGCAATTCAACCCAGAGAATTCTTTGCCCATGTTTTCCTGGGACTCTCCCCAGTAACACTTCCTGGAAATTCTGCCTGCCAAGGCTATATGAGAACACTGAATAGCTTAGCAGAGAAGGAAACTGATATGAAAAGTGGACAAGGAGTTGCCAAAGAGGTCTCTCTTGAATATAAGCATAAAAACGTAAAAAGGCACAATTAACTAATCGGTTTCCTAACATATTAAGAAATAACTCAATCTCTCGCTACCTAAAATCATGTTAAAATAAGAGAAAAAAATTAACACATTAATTTGTCCAATATGAGGTGTGTATTAAGTCTACTGGATAGTGATGCGCCACAAAATAAACTTCCCATATTTCAATATGATTTGCTCTTAAGGTATCAGAAACTAAACCTGAATACACTTTCTCTTGGCATCTTATAAAAAGTTCTTACAGAATCTCAGTCTAATAGTTCAGCACCAGCAGCACCTATTTTGTGCAGTTCTGAAAGCTTTCAGCAGTAAATCTCTAAAAATGTCCACTTAAGCAGTAGAGGTCATAAATACTTTGCAAGAGCAATAAAATAGAACAGAATTTTGGAAGTTATAATTTTAGTGGATATAACTGCACTATAAAAGAAAGGCCTCTGGGACCCAGAATAAATGCAAAACTCTAAGTGAACCGCAGTGCTAACCCATCTGCAAGTGGTAAATTATCCCCAGTCCCAGGTGTGGTGCATTATCCTAAGGGTGTCCAGTGATTAAAGGTAAGAACGTGGCTAAAATCCAAGGGAGCACTGAACATTAATGACGGCTGGAAATTGTCGACAATTTCTCTGGAAGTTTGATTTGGTCCTATTTGCTCACATTAGCCAGGTCCAAAGTTCAGCGGAGAGCCTATGATCAGTACAGATACTCCAGTGGAAGAGGCCCAGAGGGTGAAAAGAAGACTTTGGCTCTTCATTTGCCCCAGAAGGAGTTCACACAGATAAAAGTAGGACCATAATCCTATTACCTATAAGCTCTTTAAGCTGCAACAAAGAACAGACACTTACTGAGGCCATTGTCCTAAAATTCAAATGATAATTGCAAAGCAACATAAAAATTTCGCTACATTTGTTCTCTTTCTGGTACATCACTTATTCTCAATAGTACACATTTGCATACATGTTCTTTTACAGTTAAATCTGTGTTAGGTTATTAGAAACTCCCAAAGGGTCAAGAATATGTTTAATTGATTTCCCAAGCTCTTCCCCTATCACACACACCCATATGCATATAAAGAACATTGTGCATTGCTGAAAGCAAGTGACTATTTCATGATTACATTCATAATTTTTTATAATGTTTGAGTTCAAAAAGTCCCCATTTTTTATACTTTTCCACCAAGTTCTTGAATTGCCCCTTATGCTCCAATCTAGTTTTAACCAGCACAATATAGAAAACTGATGAGAACAATATCGAATGAAGGTGGCAAGGATAAGAAAGTTACATCTGAAGAGCAGATGAAGAAAATTTTCATGCAAGGAAGTCCAAGCTTCCAATTTTTAATCAGCATTTGATTGTGGCCTATTAAAATGCCAAATCACTTTGCAATATTGTGCTATGTCTTCACAGCTTAAAATAGTCACCGTGAAATAGTCATCCCACCCCATTTCCCCATCTGAAAATAATAACACATTGTACCTTTTGCTGTTGTTTCTAATTTTTGGGCTTTTATGATTGTGTAACTGAAATGTCATCCTCCTGCATCTAAGGGTCACCTTCTAGTTTATTTGGAAAATAAAAGAACAAGTGGGTTTGTCCCATGTCAACTCCTGAGTCATCAGCTTGGCAGCTCTTGTCTATATCATGTGCTCCTCTCAGCCTTGTTTTTTGCATGACCTTTGGTCACTGCTCTGTTCACTGCTGTTTACCACCTGGAACTTGGGTCTTCCTTGGTGGTATGGTGCCGATTCCAGAGGGCCACACTTTCCATCATTAATCTGTCGCTTTGCTCCCATTAATACCTCACCACAAAGTTTATGGCTGTTAAGGATTTTGCTGCAGGTTTGGGGATTGTTCCAAGTAAAACTCTAGTTCTCTCTTTCAAAAAAAAAAAAAAATTGGCTGATATCTATGTGGATTGGTTTTACCCATGGATTCTTCTTAATCTGAGCACTCCTGCGCTGCAATAATCATCCCACAAAGCATTTCCCAAAGCCTTCGATAGGGAGTCCAAAGTAAGATCATTGCAACAGTAAGTGGGAGTTGCATTTGCGAGGAGGAGGGCCCACAGAAAATAGTCTGTGGTGACTTCTGCAGTCTGGTTACCATTCAGGCCTTGCAGCCGGTGTGAAGTGAAACCAGCGCAGGCTACTGGGTGGACCTGGGTTGTTTCTGCATACCTAGTATCACTATCCTTATTCTTGTAATGGTGTCTTGACTTTCCTTGGGGATCGACCTCCACCCACTTTCATTCCATGTGGTTTAGGTGGGGCTAGCCCAACCCCTGCAATCAGAGGTGAGCTCATGACCCAGATCTGGACAATTGGTATTGTGGTGTGGCCATGGTGATTGATTAATCACTCTTTGCTCTAATCAAAGTAATCCTAGGAATTTTTCTGGAGCAACTCAGAAAGACGTTTTGTTTTGGGGAGCTTTTTCTAAGAGTGCTAGCAGAGAGGATGAAGTAAGTCTGAGCTTCCATCAGGCACCATAAAATCATAAAAATAAGGCCAATCAAGGGGAAAGCAGCGCAGAGATATAAAGATAGATTGATTCTAATGATGGCATTTGAGACTCTTGGATCCAGACATGATTAAAGTTGGTAGTGCTGAAATTTTCAGTATGGAAACCAAGATTTTTGTTTTAACTTAAGCCAATTTGAGTTGATTCCCTGTCACAATCCAAAGGTTCTTGAATAATATATTCTTGAATTTTTCCTATGGCACCAGGTCTCCCATGGATACCAGAATAAACACACACACACACTTATCCCTCCCAAAGATAAACAATAATTTAAAAAATATTGCAGTCTAAAGCCACACTAAAAGAGAGAAGCACCTTTTTTGGGCGAATATAATAAAATCTATACAGATAGCTTTGTGAACAATAACTATAATGCTTTATATTATTATGTACAAAGTTTTAGTTTCCATCTCTTCTTTCTAGACAATAATCCTAAATCTTAGTGAAGCAAAAGAAAACAGCTCCATTAGATTTCCATGACAAATAACAAAACTACGTATTTCATTAGTTATATAAACATCTGGAATTGAAATTAAAATAATTGAAATTCAAAGTCAATTTAATAGTCAGGCATCCCCCTCATCTCACTATACATCTCTATAAGCAGTGGTTCCTGGTATAGAATTCATTTCCCTGATCCAATTCCTCAGGTAAAGGAATGAGCGAGAGGTAGGGCAGGAGGCTGGTTCTTCCAGTGACATCTTTAATTTAGGCAACTTTAACCAATGATTATAAAGAACACAAAAGGGGTGCCTGGGTGGCTCAGTCAGTTAAGCGTCTG